AATGAATTTTTGAATCGTGTTTCAGGCGGACACGTTTCTGGCAGCTGTAAAAAATTCGAGCTCCCGTTTGTTTCTCGCGTGGTTCGTGGAAACTGCCATGTTCTCGATTTTCATTGACAATCGAGTTTTGTCTGCAGAGAGACACGACAACGGTAATGCTGATTAAATTTTTCATAATATCCCTGTGAAAATGTATTGAATCAGTTAATTTTCTTTCCTTCCCAGATTTGTTTGATTATCGAGCATTGGAGCACCAAAGTGACGGCAGCGGAAAAAACATCTTCAAAACCATGAAGCATTTTGGAAAAACAGTGAAAACACTGAGTGAGTGACCTTTTAACAATTACAGTCATCAACGCTAATATTTCAAGATGAATTCGACTTTTCTTTTTTTTAAAGGTGATAAATGGAAGGATTGGAAAGCAACGACAGCATCAACTGCAACTTCGACTTGAACAGCTCTTTTTTTTTTTTGAGGATTCCACGATCCAAAGGCGGCAAAGATTTTCTACTCGCTAAGCTTTTCCAACGTGGATCATGGATTTTATTTTCGAGATCCTAATACTCGGGGCAATGCTTGTGTTTTTATGTGATAAGCTGAATTTTTCGTTTCGAGAAGCGTTCGAAAACGTCGCGAAAATACGTATCAGGCAGTTTTTTGAATCCATGATTTGAGCATGATATAGACTTAACCATCGCGAAGAAAGTCGAAGTCAACATTTACGCGTGCGTTTGATAATTTTAAAGAAAAAAAAAGCCTGAGAGGATTTAAGAAGATTTTTGTTGAAAGCGAAACGACGAAAGCAATTTGTGAGCTGCAAAAAGTCTCTCATCAGCGAAGGCAAAAGTACCTTTTTTTTTGCGCGAAATCTGGAGGAGAAAATATCAGTCTTCACGCATTGTCGCACGAGTGATTTTTCCAGCGAGCTCGGTAATTATTGAATGTGTTTTATTTTCTCGCCGTTTTCATTGAAGAAAACAAAATTAGTGGCAATGAAGATTTGAGGGAAAATGCTTACGAATCACATTTTTCATTACTTTCTCGATATAATTCGATCCAGATGAGCCCCATTTTTGTGTTGATTTGAACCTTCAGGAGACGAATGCCAGGAGCTTTCGAACCCCGGCCCAAAGTTCCTCGGCTGTCGGTGCTATTTGGGTGTCCGGAAGAAGAAATCCGTGTCTTCCGGTGTCCCGGA